ACACAGCTCTAGAGAGGGCTATCAGTGTGTCACTTCCAGCACACGATGATGTTGGGGTCGTTCTCCAGGCGCTCATCCAGCTCCTTGTAACTCATGCCTGGGGAGTAAGACAGTGGGGTGTTAGCAGGGTGTCAGTGGGGTGCCCAGAAGCAGTGTCAGAGGCTGGGTGGGGTCCCCAAGCCCTGCCCCTGGCAACATGGGCTTGGCAGCCTGGCTTGGAGAAGAGCCTGGCCCACAGTCCCGTCTCCCTGCAGCCTGAAGGCTCCCAAAGGGGCAAGAACCCAGGGCCGGTGCCCGGCTGCGGGCAGGCAGATATGCCCATGTCTCCCAGCAGCCCTGGGGCGCACACACAAGGAGCAGAGGATCCTGTGGATCCATACCAGTCTTGCAGCAGATCTCGTCGTAGCTGTGGCAGCCCGTGTACAGCCGGGCGGGGTGGCTGCGCTCATCCCGGGCCACCTTGACCGGGTATTTCTGCAGCCGACGGATCAGGCCCTTCATCAAACCAAACTGGATCAGCCTCCTGGGGATGACGAGCAAAGAGATGGGGCCACAATCCCCAAGGTGCCAAATGGCCCAGCTGCCCACATTCTCTTCTGTTCCACATGCCCCACCACTGCCTCACAGTTCCTACCCTACAGACACAGGTTTGAGTACTTCCTACTCACTGTCTCTGCCACCCCCAGTGCCACCACTGCCCTCAGGGTGTGATCAGGAGGGCTCTGACCTCTCATCCACCCTCTGGAGCTGCAGGGTGTAGCGGGAGATGAGGTCTCGCACAGTGGTGCCAGGGCTCAGCCCGCAGTACAGCTGGAAGACATCCCTGAGGCTGGCTCGCTTGTGCCCTGCAAGGACAAGCCACCACTCAGCTGCCCTGTCCCCCTGCCTGGGCCAGCATCCCCAGGTAGCGTCACTGTACCTTGTTTGGTGACATAAGACAGACACTCTTCCTGGAGACACTTGTCATCCACCAGGTCCTGGACCTTGGGTGTGGTGCAGTAGACGTTGGAGTACTGGAGGGTGATGGAAAAGCAGCTCTGCTCAGCTGCAGCTCTGACAGACAGGCCTGGCCCACCCCAACCCTGCTGCTGCCCAACTCCCCTCACAGCCCCATGGCCTGACCCACCTGGAGGATGGAGACGAGAGTGACGACCCCATAGTACCTGCAGAGGGACAGGGAAGGGTGAGAGGAGCCTGTGGCAGCCCCCATCTCCCTGGGCTGGGCAGTCCTGCATGGGGGGTACTCACAGCAGGTTCTGCACAGGGGGGCACTCACTCACAGCAGGCCCTGCACCGGGGGCACTCACTCACAGCAGGCCCTGCATGGGGGGCACTCACTCACAGCAGGTTCTGCACGGCGATGCGCACCAGGTTCAGCTCCACATCAGCCTCAGCTGAAATCTTCTGGACGTGCCGGAATCCATCGATGTAGGGCAGGATCTGGGAGGGAGAGGCAGGACGGAAAGGGCAGAGAGCACTGAGGCATCAACCTGAAGCAAAAGCAGCTCTCCTGGATCTGGGGACAGCTGGGATGGGCAGGCTGCATTCCCAGGTGTGCTTTATCCTTGTGCTGGTGAATGATTTGTTCACAGGCTCAAGCACAAAGCCAAGGGCAGCACCAAACTGTGCTCATAAATGTGGGGATCTCCAGGACAGCCCAACTCCCCTGAGGGTCTGGAAACAGATCCCCATCAAAGTGTTCATCACACAGACCTGCTGCGTGGTGAGATCCCACTGGGAGTTGAAGAAGTCATCCTTGTCCTGAGTGAAGACAGGGACATCGTACTCCTGCACAATGGGGGGGTCTGGCCGCTGCTCAATCACCTTCAGGTGGATGGTGTTGGACTCATCTGCCCGGGAAAAGGGGAAGGCTCAGTCTCTGTGCAAAACAGTGTTCCCTCAGGAGCCTGCAACCATCAACCCCAGCACACCTCAATGGCGCACACGACAAGGTGTTTGCAGCCCATAACCCCATCCCACCCCATCCCTTGGAACCAGTTAGGGTAAGGCTGGCTCAGACACCCCCAGATCCAAGCACAGACAGGCAGAAAGCTGCAGGGAGCAGCACAGGCAGAGCCAACCTGGGCAGGGAATGGCCCAGTTGTCTCCCAGCATGGCCCTGTCCTCAACGTACCTATGGGCAGGGTACACTTCCCTTTGGCATTCAGCTCCTCCAGCAGGATGGTCATGATGGGAACCAGCTTCTGTTTACTCTCCTCGTTGGAGATGAATCCACTTTCCAGCTGAAGAGAGCAGAAAGTCAAGTCAGCTGCTCCCCACAGAATTACTGGCTACAACAGCCCAGATCCTGCTCCCCTTTAGAACTGATCTGATCTGTAGGAAAGCAGCAGCACAATCCCCTCCTCGCTGTAAAACCAGCCCTGTCCCAGCAATGCCCAGCGGCCCCCACGTGCCCCAGGACCCTGCAGAGGTGCCCACACTCTGTGGGTGGGTGGGGAGGCAGCCTGGCCATGCCCAGCCTCACCTCGAGGGTGGTGAGGTACCCAGCCAGCTTCTTCACGATGGGCTCCAGCGCGCAGGCCTTGGCTCTGGCATCGCACACGAAGCCCAGGTTGAAGAGCAGAGCGTTCCTGCTGTACTTCTTGTGCTCGATGCACACGGGGCAGCCGATCAGCTTCTTCTCCATGGCCGTCCTGTGGGGACACCTGTGACCTGCACCTGCGCCCTCAGGCAGCCTCCAGTCCCCCACAGGGAGGGCTCCCAGCCAACTCTGCAGGCAGGGGCTTCTTTATATTGCAGGAAAAATGGTGCCTAAGCCCTCATGCCCAGAGTGCAAATCACAGTCTGAAGGGGGAGTGGGGAGGAAAAGAGTCCTCAGAAGAGGAAACAGTTTGCTTTGGAAAGCAGCACAGCCCTCCTGACTGGTCTGACCTTCCTGCGTTTAAGGCTGGCGTAGCAGCAGATGCAGCACCAGCCACTCCAAATGTAACCGACCACCCTGTGCAGGGCTACCTGGGACACCGCAGTGACCCTGCTGGCCCGGGGCAGGAGCCCAGCGCTGGCAGTGCCACAGCACCGAGCTGCGCTCCGCACCGAGCTGAGCTCTCCCCTGAGCTGTGCCCCGCACCGGGCCGGCCGGGACAGCGGCTCCGGGGCAGGGACGGGGCTCTGCCCGCACTCACACGGTGATCAGCTTGTTCTGCAGCTCGGGCTTGGTGATCACGTACACCTGGATGGTGTCAAACAGCTCCCGGGAGATGAAGTCCTCGGGGACCTGCGGTGACACAGGAGGCTCCGTTCCAGCCAAGCGCGTCCCGCTCCGGGGAGAGCCCACCATCCCTGTCCCTGTGCTCCCTTCCCCGACGGTCCAGTCCCAGCCCCCGCCGCGGGCCCCGCACCTGGTAGGTGATTTTGGGCCCGAGCGTGGGGTGGAACTCGCTGAAGAACACGCACTCGATGCGGCCACCCATGGCGGGACGCGAGCGGCGGAGCCTGTCCTAGCCCTGCCGGCCACCGTAGCGCCGCTCCCGCGGAGTCACAGGGCTGCGCGGGGGGCGGGCCCTCATATTGAGCGACAGCACTTCCCGCCATTCAGAGCGGCGCAGCGTGGTAGGGCGGGCCTTAGCGATGACGGACAGCTCCCTTAGCCAATCGGAGCCCGCGCCGCGGCCCGGCCATGTCGGCAGCGGCGGTTCCGCCCGCCCGGCCAACATGGCCCTGACGGCCGAGACCGAGTCCCGCCTGTACCGCTCGCTGCGCGTGGCCTCGGGCGCCGCCGCGCACCTCGTGGCGCTGGGATTCCCCGCCGCCGTGGCCGTGCTGGCGCGGCCCGGATCCAGTGAGTGCCGGCGGGGCCGGGGCCCGGGGCGCGGGGAGGGCCGGATGTCTGAGCTCACCTCAGCTCACCTCACCCTGCGCTTCCCTTCCAGGTCTCTTCTCCTGGCACCCGCTGCTCATGGCCCTCGCGGTAAGTGTCGCTGCTCGGTCATCTCCGCTGCCGGCGGAGTGCCTGGGTGGTGGGTGCCGGGCCCCAGGAACCCCCGGGTGATGGAGACTGAGCCCCTGGAGCCACCGGGTGAGGGGAGGCCGAGCCCCGTGAGCCCCCGGGTGATGGAGGCCGAGCCCCCCCGGGTGATGAGTGCCCAGCCCCGGGAGCCCCCGGGTGATGGATGGGAGGCCGAGCCCCGGGCGGTGGGTGCCCAGCCCCCGGAGCAGCGGCGCAGCGCCGTTTGTCCGGTGCCAATGGCGCTGCCCTCTGCCCCCCAGTTCTCGTTCCTGATGACGGAAGCGCTGCTGATCTTCTCCCCGGAGACCTCGCTGCTGCGCTCCTTCTCCCGCAAGGTCCGGGTGCGGGTGCACTGGGCCCTGCAGCTGCTCGCCCTGCTCTGCGCGCTCCTGGGGCTGGCAATCATTACCTACAACAAGCACCTGAACGGCAAGGGCCACTTTGTCACCTGGCACGGCCTGACAGGGCTGCTGGCTGTGCTGTACGCCGGCGGGCAGTGCGCCGGGGGCGTGCTCCTGCTCTACCCCAAGCTGATGAAGAACTGGACTCTGGCCAAGCTGAAGCTGTACCACGCGACCTCAGGGCTGGTGGGCTACCTGCTTGGCTGTGCCAGCCTGATGCTGGGCATGTGCTCCCTCTGGTTCACCACCACGGTGACCGGTGTCTCGTGGTACCTCGCCATGCTGTGTCCTCTCGTCACCAGCCTGGTTATCATGAACCAGGTGAGCAATGCGTACCTGTACCGCAAGCGCAGCCAGCACTGAGGGCTTGCTGCTGACCTGAACTTCCCAGAGTGAGCTGGGCCTCCCCTTGGAGAGAGCTGGCAGCCCCCCTGCTCGCACAGGGTCTCCTTGGAACTTGGTTTCTACCTACTCGTCTTTCCTTAGTCCTGGATTGTCCGTAGTGTCTTGTCCCTGGGGAGCAGCCGCTCTAGATGTGTGACACCTCAGCCCTGCCTCGGTGGGGATGTTCCCTGACACAGGTAAAGCTGCCAGTCCCTGTGGCAGCTTGGTGCTCAGTGCTGGGAAATGGAGGGCTCACTCAGGATTCCTGCTTTGTTTCCCTTCCCACGCAGGGCTGCTTTGGAGCAGGCAGGGCAGGAGCCATCCTGGTGAGGAGGGCAGGGAGTCCCTTCTCTCCTGGGGGCTGCAGCAGGCACCACGCTGCCTCTCCTGCCACGGGGGCAGCTTGACAGCAAAGCACAGGGCACGGTTGTGGCTTCAGCCTGGCAGAGCTGGGGCAGGGTGGTGGCACCCCAGCAACGGTACAGCAGCAGGTGTGTCCCCATGGCACGGGCAGCTCTGCCCCAAGGGCCTGGGTCTGGACACCCACTGCCACGCACAAATCCCTCCTCCGTGGGCTGGGCTCGGCCTGCCGGGGTGGGGTCAGTTTACAGAGCAAATTACTGAGCCGGGCTGTGAACGTGCAGCCAGCAAGGCATAGGGAACAGTGTGAGCACGGGGGGAGGCACAGACCTGGGCGATGAACCCTGGGGAAGGCAGGAAGAAACCTCCTTGCTGGCACAGCAGCCTTCCTTCCAGCACGTATCCTGCTCCCAGCAGAGCTGGAGAGCTGGGAGCGGCTCCCAGGCTGAAAAATTCCTCTGTATCCAGAGCTTTTATTCAATAAAAATTTCAGGCAGCTAGAGTGCAACAAGCCCTCTTTACTTCTTGGGTGGGATGGCTTTTGGGGAGCAGGCAGACATCTGTCCCTGCTGGGAGCAGCTGGGAAGGAACCCCCTGAACCCCCTCCCCACCTCCTGACAAGAGCCCCCAGGGGCTGCTCTGGGCTGGGCCCCCACCCTGCCCGTGCTCTGCTGCAGGAGCCAGCGCTTTCAAAGAACTCTTTATTGATACCCAAAGGTCTGTGTTCTTCCCATTTGACAAAACCTTCTCGTGTGGTCCTTTAAAAAAATAATCATGACACTGCTGATCCACATCCAGGGCTGGGAATAGCCCACTGGATCAGGAGCTGTGGAGGCTGTTGCAGGGAGCATCCTCTCCATCCAGGAAAAAAAACTCCATCAACAAAGAGGGAGGGAAAAGAAAGGGGGAGCCCATATTCTACCTGCAGGAAAGAAAACCTGCTGCCAGAGGAAGCAGCTAGAGTCCCACTGTAAAATTAATTCCTGCTTCTAGTGTAATCTGGCAAACGGATTAGCTGGGGAGCAGCCAAGGGCAGCAGCTCCTCACAGGGGGAGGGGGCAGGAGAGGAAGGAGGAGAGAATCCCCACCATGAGAGCCTGGAGCTGGCAGTGCTGGAGCACCACCGTGAGGGGCTGGGTGGCCTCTTCCTGCCCAAGGTTCTGTCCTCTCCTACCCAACAAACTCCTCACCAGCCCTGGTGAGCTCCTGCTGGGGCAGGGGGAGGCTCCCCGCGGGAAAGACCTTTGGAAGAGAAACCCACCAGCCTTCCGTTCCCTCAGTTGGGACAAAACTACCTTCAGAAAGGAGGAAATACATGTTGAGTGCTCTGGCCAAGCCCTGGCACAGAGGAGAAGCTGACTTGGATCCCACGAGGGCCAGCACAGCGGCTTGGGGCAGGGATCAGCCCCGTGTCCCTCTCCCAGAACAGCTCCCTCTGCCTGCACCGACTCCACGGCCTGCCCCGGCTGGGGGAGTGGCTCCAGGAGTTTCTGTCCTCACGGTGGTGGCAGTGTCACTGTCCCGGGTGCCGGCCGCGAGCAGCAGCAGAAGCGTTGGAATGAGGTATCCCCCAGCCTGCGCCGCGGGAGGAGTCCCCGCCCCGGCCAGGGGGACACCAGGGGGATTAGCAGCTCTCACACGGAGACAGGGCGGGAAGGGCCGCTCACAGCTGCGCCGGCGCCTCCTGGAAGCTGATGAGGTTGGACTCCTGGCCAGGGCTCTTCCCGGCCGTGCCGGGCTCGGGCAGCAGTGGGCTGTCGGCCTTCGCTGCTCCCACTGCCTCCTCCTCATCATCCTCCATGCTGGGCCAGGCTGATTGGTCCTCCACACGCTTCAGCCGCTCGTTCAAAGCCTTCAGGGCCAGCTGCCTGCAGGACAAGAGCAGGTGGGCAGGTTAACCCGGGACAGCAGCGGCTCTGCCCCGTGGGGCACTGGGCAAGGCAGTCCCTGGCTTCCTCCCAGCAGGAAAGGGTGGGTTCAGCAGTGCTAGGGAAGACCTGAGCACCTGGGACTGCTCCACAGACATGCACTCCGGCTCCCAGACTACTCACACGGAGTTTTCAGGCTACGTGGTGCAACTGGAGGCTGTCAGCTCAAGGGCAGCTCCGGGAAGGGGGAATAAAGGTATAAAGCAGGGCAGGGAAAAGGGAGTGCCAGCTCCCTGTCCAAACCCTCCTGCCAAGAGTCAGGAAGGCCAGTGCTGGCTGTGCTGGAGGGCTGGGCTGTGGGGCTGACTCACTGCCCTCCCCTGGCCCAGAGTGAACTGGTGGAAGGCTGCCACAAACATAGGCTGTCACTGTCCCAGACTGCATTCCTTTCTTCTGCAGGGACCCCTAACCTGTCTGCCCCATTCCCAGGATCCCCCCTGCTTTTCCATTGCTGCTCCACATCTGCAAGAGCAGGATAATGTCCCACCAGCTCCCTGAAATGCTCCTCACCGCCTCCGTGGCAGACCACACGGAGAAGACCCCTCCCGAGCTCCTGCACCTAAATCTCCCCCCTCCTCCTTGGCTGGATTTTAAACCGTACCCCCGCTGTCCCTAAACGCGATCCCGCAGGGCAGGGCAGGGCAGGCGGTACCTTCTCCTCTCGGCGTCCTGGGGGTCCGTTCCTGGCAGGCTGATGGTGATGGAGGACGGGGCACCCACGTCGTAGCGCTTGACGGTCTTGCGGCACACCCGTACCTTCACCAGCACGCTGTGCACCAGGTTGGCCACCAGACCCACCACGGGCTGCAGGATCTCGGGGAAGAAAGTGGCGAAGGCGAAGTGGTCGCTCATGTCTCCGCGGCCTCTGCTGTGCCGCTGGTAGAAGCGGAGATAGACCCAGCTGGAGAGGAGCCCGAAGCCGTACGAGGCCAGTACATTGCTCTCGACAAGGGCAGCGAGCCGCAGCAGAGCCAGGAGAAGGAGCAGGAGCATGGGGACAGCCTTCATTCTGATCTGAGGCACCTTCAGTACGGTGCTGTCCCCCATGGTCTGCTTGAGGGCCACCAAGACCCCCCCGAGGAAGCCTAGGCCGCCGTGGATGCGGACGGCGAACAGATAGTGGAGGCGGAAGGAGGCCACATAGGTGAGGAAGTAGGCGAGGGCGGCCAGGAGCCCCACGGAGATGTTCACCACGGCGAAGAAGACGAGCAGCTC